TTTTGTACAGACAGCACTTCAGACAGCAAGTATGCTGTAGTCGGCAATCATTCGTTTTGGTACAGAGTGGGACAAGTAGGGGGTGATGTTGCTGTAGTCGAACGGTGAGACGGACGTGTAGTTCAGTTTTGGGCACGCGTACGGTGCTGCAGGGATTATATATAGGTGTAGTAGTACCTCTTCGGGCTCTTGTACACCTTTTTCTTGCTACGTGTGCGTGTTCTTTAGATCCTCAGATGGCTCCAGCACTTTCGTGACCACGGGCCGAGAGTCTTTGCTAGATTTTGGCATTTAGCAACTGGCATACGGTTTAATGTGAAGTCAACAACAACAACATTGTACCACACATTCCTCGCGGTTTGAGTTATTTCCGCCAATTCGTTGTATGCGTGTCGAGAACTGGTATGGCACCTAAAAATGATGTCTCCAATAAAACGAAGTTGCCCCGCCAGATGGCACACATGAGCGATATAATATCAGGATCCGTTCCACATCGGATGGTAGCTGACTCCAATTCACGCTCCAGGTTCCGCCTCCGGTGATCATCGGCTCGTTGGGATTTTGCTTCGAGTTCTTTCCAAACGCCAAGTCCGCTGCCGCTTGATTCGTCATCGGGCGCATATCTGCGCAGAACATATTGTGCCGCCTCGATCAATAGCCTAAATGATGAGAGCTATTGAACAGTTCCGTATCTGCATCCGCATGGTCGTCCAGATCCTGTGGATTGACAACAGCTCGAGACCTTCCGGCAGAAGATGATGACTTCCTCGCCGTCGGTCTCTTGCGCGATTCCCGTTGATCTGGTGCAGAACGCCTTACTTAGTTCTAGTTTATCCTTTTGCAGCTGCACGATCGTTTAGGCTAAATTCGCAATTTCGTAGTAGTATCAGCTGCCTCACGCATCGCCCGTGTGACAGTCTTCCCTTCAGCTTCATTCAGCATCAGCGATAACCTTGAAGGCAAGTCTCTCCTTCTCCCGGGCTTCCAATGCTGCTGACTCCGCTGAGCATAACTCCCTTAAAAGCGTCTTCGTGTGTCACTTCTTCCAGGTATGCACATACCTTGTCATTCACATATAGACTATATAATCGCACTTACTTACTTGTTCTTCGGCTTCTTCCTTCATGCTGTATTCGAGCAAAATCCTTGCAGTAGCACTGCGCTTGCTCTTGACAAAATGTGATGATTTCTCCGTGAAGTCTTCAAATCTTCCCATAGTTTGGACTCGCCTTGGGAATTTTTCTGTTGTTTGCTTGTTCGCATCCTACTGACTGATTATCGTAAACCTCCCAGCCGCAAAATGGCGAGTCCAAACTATGGGGAGATTTGAAGACTTCACGGAGAAATCATCAAACGATATCAAGAGCAAGGGCAGTGCTACTGCAAGGGTTTTGCTCAAAGACAGTATAAAGGAAGAAGCCGAAGAACAAGGGCGACTAGATATAGTCTACGAGAAGGTTGACTGAAAATTTGGTTGAAGCGTGAGTAACGCGCGTACCATCATATTATTTGTTTTATTATTATTTATTTATTTTCTCCCATCATTGGACTCTGTCGTCACCCCCTCTGGCCCCTATCCTCCACTTCTACTAGCTAGACGACCCAACCGGGGTTACACAGGAGGGGGGGGTTGGACCCCCTCCTGCGGTTCCTGCCTGAGATATTTTTATTGCGAAAATGGTACAGCAGTCCCTTCCCTCGCGACTTCCGAGGTCGATTATGGTTTTTTACTGACAACGAACTCTGCAGCGCGTCGCTTTCAACCTAGACCAGGATTTATTTAGACTAGTGAGAACCCTGCCGGACTCGAACCCATGACCTGGCCCTTAGCAGGCTGCGAGGGTACCCACTAGACCACCGGGGCGACCGGGCATATGTAGAAATGCGGGGTGTCGAGGTGCCCTGTACCCAAGGGTCGTGTCTGCAGGCGGTTATTATGCCTTCGTGCAGTTCCAGACAGAAGAAGTCTGTGTAATGTACAACCGAAGTCTGTGACAGAAGTCGACGTTGTTGCTAAATGCCACTTCTGGGACTTGTACTTTTCAGTCTTTTTCACTACCTACCTTAGTTCCCGAGTGGCCTGTATTATTCCTATCTTGTCCTCAACAGCTTGCTTCTACTTACTACCAGTACTGCGTGCTTGGCTCCATCGTATGTCCAGATTTCGAAAAATCCTGGGTTCCCACGTTAAATTGACACGAAAATTTTGGACTGAGACAGATTGACACGAAAAAAAGTGACGGTTGACAAATTGACAAGAAAATAGGTACCGGTTGGTAAATTGATAGACACGAAAAAATATTCCGCCACACGTTGCCTGGCGAAGGCCAGCAGCGGCGCAGCCTTAATTTAAAAAAATTCAACCCCAGCTGCATCGCTGCACCGCCGGGAAACCCAACGGTCGCGCTCCCTCATCACCACACCCGACACAGAGCGAGGAGAAGGCGCGCCTTGCGCGAGGCAGAATCCGCTACGAGCGGTATGATGAGTGCATGCTGGTTCTTCGGCTTGCTGTGTTGTGTGCGCTAGCTGGAGAGGAGGACATGTTCCTCGTGATGGCCATGTTTGGCCTAGCAAAGCTGGAGGCGTATGAAGAACTGATAGCCCCAACGATCCTGGAGGGTGTGTGCCCGATGTAAAATTTCTTCGATGCAATTGGAGGCTTGGGCTTTAAGGAGCTCTTTAGGTTCGAGAAGCCTCACTTCCGCGAGCTGCTGCACGAGCTGCAGCTCCCTGAGGAGATCGAAATTCACAGGACAGTCGGAGTCGTGTGCGTTTGAGAACTCTGCGGTAGTTGCTGTATGCGACGGGCAGGGCGCGCCGGGGTTGTGCTGCTGCTGTGGACAGGCTTCTCATCTCAGCACGTAGGAATCATACCCGTGTCCTGAGTATCACGGAGGTGCACATAGTTTCAGACAGCATCAATGATAGCGAAGCAGTTGATACAGCAGTAGTCTAGACTATTGATTTTTGAAATGTGTTTTTGAGGTCATACCTGCTGTACTACAGCAGTCTACACGTGTAGCACATATAGTCACCGCACTCTCCATGCGTTCACCACGCGTGGTACTTCTCCCCCCGCCCGTTTTCGCCCTATAGCACCGAAACTGACGGCAGCAATGGAACATGACTTTGCTCCTTGTGTCTGTCTGTGCAGTCAACAGGGGAGGGTTTGGAGTTTCCAGGGTTCCTATCGACCTTGCGCTGGCGGTGACGATCTGGCGCCTGGCATGTCCGACGACGCTGATCCGGGACCGGCTCTTTTGGGGGATAGCGGAACAGATGATATGCGATATCTTCAACCTCACCATCGAAGCGATCTTTGATCGCTGGGGTCACCTGGTAAACCAGCTGCAACATGATGCAATTCTATCAAAGATAGATATGTTCTGTCAGGC